AGTAATGACCAGGAGGGTAGTAATGACCAGGAGGGTAGTAATGACCAGGAGGGTAGTAATGACCAGGAGGGTAGTAATGACCAGGAGGGTAGTAATGACCAGGAGGGTAGTAATGACCAGGAGGGTAGTAATGACCAGGAGGGTAGTAATGACCAGGAGGGTAGTAATGACCAGGAGGGTAGTAATGACCAGGAGGGTAGTAATGACCAGGAGGGTAGTAATGACCAGGAGGGTAGTAATGACCAGGAGGGTAGTAATGACCAGGAGGGTAGTAATAGTAATGACCAGGAGGGTAGTAATGACCAGGAGGGTAGTAATGACCAGGAGGGTAGTAATGACCAGGAGGGTAGTAATGACCAGGAGGGTAGTAATGACCAGGAGGGTAGTAATGACCAGGAGGGTAGTAATGACCAGGAGGGTAGTAATGACCAGGAGGGTAGTAATGACCAGGAGGGTAGTAATGACCAGGAGGGTAGTAATGACCAGGAGGGTAGTAATGACCAGGAGGGTAGTAATGACCAGGAGGGTAGTAATGACCAGGAGGGTAGTAATGACCAGGAGGGTAGTAATGACCAGGAGGGTAGTAATGACCAGGAGGGTAGTAATGACCAGGAGGGTAGTAATGACCAGGAGGGTAGTAATGACCAGGAGGGTAGTAATGACCAGGAGGGTAGTAATGACCAGGAGGGTAGTAATGACACGGAGGGTAGTAATGACCAGGAGGGTAGTAATGACCAGGAGGGTAGTAATGACCAGGAGGGTAGTAATGACCAGGAGGGTAGTAATGACCAGGAGGGTAGTAATGACCAGGAGGGTAGTAATGACCAGGAGGGTAGTAATGACCAGGAGGGTAGTAATGACCAGGAGGGTAGTAATGACCAGGAGGGTAGTAATGACCAGGAGGGTAGTAATGACCAGGAGGGTAGTAATGACCAGGAGGGTAGTAATGACCAGGAGGGTAGTAATGACCAGGAGGGTAGTAATGACCAGGAGGGTAGTAATGACCAGGAGGGTAGTAATGACCAGGAGGGTAGTAATGACCAGGAGGGTAGTAATGACCAGGAGGGTAGTAATGGCCTGTAGGGTAATAATGACCAGGAGGGTAGTAATGACCAGGAGGGTAGTAATGACCAGGAGGGTAGTAATGACCAGGAGGGTAGTAATGACCAGGAGGGTAGTTATGACCAAGAGGGTAGTAATGACCAGGAGGGTAGTAATGACCAGGAGGGTAGTAATGACCAGGAGGGTAGTAATGACCAGGAGGGTAGTAATGACCAGGAGGGTAGTAATGACCAGGACGGTAGTAATGACCAGGAGGGTAGTAATGACCAGGAGGGTAGTAATGACCAGGAGGGTAGTAATGACCAGGAGGGTAGTAATGACCAGGAGGGTAGTAATGACCAGGAGGGTAGTAATGACCAGGAGGGTAGTAATGACCAGGAGGGTAGTAATGACCAGGAGGGTAGTAATGACCAGGAGGGTAGTAATGACCAGGAGGGTAGTAATGACCAGGAGGGTAGTAATGACCAGGAGGGTAGTAATGACCAGGAGGGTAGTAATGACCAGGAGGGTAGTAATGACCAGGAGGGTAGTAATGACCAGGAGGGTAGTAATGACCAGGAGGGTAGTAATGGAGGGTAGTAATGACCAGGAGGGTAGTAATGACCAGGAGGGTAGTAATGACCAGGAGGGTAGTAATGACCAGGAGGGTAGTAATGACCAGGAGGGTAGTAATGACCAGGAGGGTAGTAATGACCAGGAGGGTAGTAATGACCAGGAGGGTAGTAATGACCAGGAGGGTAGTAATGACCAGGAGGGTAGTAATGACCAGGAGGGTAGTAATGACCAGGAGGGTAGTAATGACCAGGAGGGTAGTAATGACCAGGAGGGTAGTAATGACCAGGAGGGTAGTAATGACCAGGAGGGTAGTAATGACCAGGGGTAGTAATGACCAGGAGGGTAGTAATGACCAGGAGGGTAGTAATGACCAGGGTAGTAATGAGGGTAGTAATGACCATGGAGGGTAGTAATGACCAGGAGGGTAGTAATGACCAGGAGGGTAGTAATGACCAGGAGGGTAGTAATGACCAGGAGGGTAGTAATGACCAGGAGGGTAGTAATGACCAGGAGGGTAGTAATGACCAGGAGGGTAGTAATGACCAGGACAGTAGTAATGACCAGGAGGGTAGTAATGACCAGGAGGGTAGTAATGACCAGGAGGGTAATGACCAGGAGGGTAGTAATGACCAGGAGGGTAGTAATGACCAGAGGGTAGTAATGACCAGGAGGGTAGTAATGACCAGGAGGGTAGTAATGACCAGGAGGGTAGTAATGACCAGGAGGGTAGTAATGACCAGGAGGGTAGTAATGACCAGGAGGGTAGTAATGACCAGGAGGGTAGTAATGACCAGGAGGGTAGTAATGACCAGGAGGGTAGTAATGACCAGGAGGGTAGTAATGACCAGAGGGTAGTAATGACCAGGAGGGTAGTAATGACCAGGAGGGTAGTAATGACCAGGAGGGTAGTAATGACCAGGAGGGTAGTAATGACCAGGAGGGTAGTAATGACCAGGAGGGTAGTAATGACCAGGAGGGTAGGAGGGTAGTAATGACCAGGAGGGTAGTAATGACCAGGAGGGTAGTAATGACCAGGAGGGTAGTAATGACCAGGAGGGTAGTAATGACCAGGAGGGTAGTAATGACCAGGAGGGTAGTAATGACCAGGAGGGTAGTAATGACCAGGAGGGTAGTAATGACCAGGAGGGTAGTAATGACCAGGAGGGTAGTAATGACCAGGAGGGTAGTTATGACCAGGAGGGTAGTAATGACCAGGAGGGTAGTAATGACCAGGAGGGTAGTAATGACCAGGAGGGTAGTAATGACCAGGAGGGTAGTAATGACCAGGAGGGTAGTAATGACCAGTACAGTAGTAATGACCAGGAGGGTAGTAATGACCTGGAGGGTAATGACCAGGAGGGTAGTAATGACCAGGAGGGTAGTAATGACCAGGAGGGTAGTAATGACCAGGAGGGTAGTAATGACCAGGAGGGTAGTAATGACCAGGAGGGTAGTAATGACCAGGAGGGTAGTAATGACCAGGAGGGTAGTAATGACCAGGAGGGTAGTAATGACCAGGGTAGTAATGACCAGGAGGGTAGTAATGACCAGGAGGGTAGTAATGACCAGGAGGGTAGTAATGACCAGGAGGGTAGTAATGACCAGGAGGGTAGTAATGACCAGGAGGGTAGTAATGACCTGGAGGGTAATGACCAGGAGGGTAGTAATGACCAGGAGGGTAGTAATGACCAGGAGGGTAGTAATGACCAGGAGGGTAGTAATGACCAGGAGGGTAGTAATGACCAGGAGGGTAGTAATGACCAGGAGGGTAGTAATGACCAGGAGGGTAGTAATGACCAGGAGGGTAGTAATGACCAGGAGTAGTATTGACCAGGAGGGTAGTAATGACCAGGAGGGTAGTAATGACCAGGAGGGTAGTAGTGACCAGGAAGGTAGTAATGACCAGGAAGGTAGTAATGACCAGGAGGGTAGTGATGACCAGGAGGGTAGTAATGAGCAGGACGGTATTAATGACCAGGAGGGTAGTAATGACCAGGAGGGTAGTAATGACCAGGAGGGTAGTAATGACCAGGAGGGTAGGTCATTACAAGAACTTAAGACATAATGACCTTGTCTGATATTTTTATTTATTTATATATACAAGAGTTGTTATATTCTTGTACAGACACTAGTACGCGTGGCGTTTCGGGCAGAACCATTCCTCAGGAGCATTGATGAGGGTTCGAACCTATGCGCTAAGTGTTCCCAGGTGCGCTCTAGTCAACTGTACTAAGACATGGTAAAAGGTTCGAACCCTCATTCATGCAGAACGGTGTAGGGATCCTGAAGGTGACTGTGTTTTGTATGTACTGAGCGCTTGCTCCTGTCACTTAATATCAACAATTATATTGCCTGAAGTAGAGAGCAAATAGTTAGGAAATCTTCAGAAATTAGTTCAGTAAGCAATTGCTTTTAAAACTTCGAATCCTGTTGTGTTAATCATTCAGTCTAGGGAAGCTGCACAAATGCAAATGTACCTAAATGTGTTATCAAAATTCCTGCATAACATACTGTGTTGTGTTAATCATACCTGCATAACTTACTAGCCGACTGACCTTCAGCGTTTTATACAAACACGTTGTCCAGTTGGTTCGTGTCCCTAATTGTCATTTACCCTTCCGCGATTGAGTCAATGTTCATTACCAGTGAAAGTATCCAAAGCCTACTTTTTCATACATTACAGTTGATTCTCGCAGCGCCCTCATGGCTCTGGAGTCATTTAATCCTATGCATCTTGTGGTCGTCGTAATTCAACACTGGCTGTTTCTTCTCTCTACAGTCGGCGTTTTGTTAGGTTCTCAGCTATATTGCTGCTACCTTAAACTGTTGTGTGTCGCTGGGAGCGGCTCGTGTAAATAGCTGAGTTTCCCCTAAAGTTCCCAGGACCAGTGAACAAAGACATTACTGGAAGGGGAATTGACAATAAAGTTATTAAATAACAATTCCCATTAAGGAATGTGAGATAAAAAGAGTTTAAGGTAATTCTCTTATATGTAAATAATTTTCCCTCTCGTCATGTGTGCTGGTGCAACACCTAACTAGAATTTCTGGGGAATGAAGCGTTATTACGCGTTAATAAACTAAACTCATTATTGCTAAGCTGTGTTAGTAGAGTTAGTAAATAATGTTAAACAGTACAAGAATAATTTCTTAAGGTACTGAATATTAGTGATAGTGTTGAAAATTTCCAACAGTGTACATTTCACTGTTGGTTGAGTGTTTTCCATGTTAGTGTTTCTTCAATATTTTAGCTGAAGTATAAATTTCTTATGTTGTTTTAGATAAGAATCTATAACTCAGTGTTTCTAATTAACTTGTTGTTGTACAAGATTGTAATACACTAAGTTTTGAGTATATTTATGTTATGTATATTTTTGTTTCAG